TAAGCAACATAATAAACAGAAATAATAAATAATAATAATAATACAATAATAAAACAATAATAAACAGAAAAGATTGAGATTGTCAAGGATTTCATTTTACTTGAAACTACACTCAATTCCCATGGAAGAAGCAGTAAGAAAAAAATCAAACAACATAGTGCAATGAAAAATCTATTTCAAAAGACATCGTTAAAGTCCTAAAGTTCAAGGCACTTCACCGAAGACGACATTCAGATGGCTAACAAACACATGAAGAAATGCTCAAAATCCCTAGCCCTAAGAGAGATGCAAATTAAAACAACTATGAGATATCATTTCACCCCAGTCAAAATAGCAAAATTTAACAGAAGAGCAAGCAACAAATGCTGGCGAGGTTGTGGAGAAACTGGAACCCTGATTCACTGTTGGTGGGAGTGTAAAATGGTGCAACCCCTGTGGAAAGCAGTATGGCGCTTTCTCAAAAAGTTGCAAATAGACATACCATTTGACCCCCCAATTCCACTACTGGGAATATACCCTGAAGAGACCATAGCTGACATCCAAGCAGATATATGCACACCCATGTTTACTGCAGCTTTGTTCACAATAGCAAGGAGTTGGAAACAACCTAAGTGCCCATCAACAAACGAATGGCTAGAGAAGCTGTGGTATATTCGCACAATGGAATACTATGCTGCATTAAAAAACAAGGAACTCATGCAATATTATTCAAAATGGTTGACCCTGGAGAACATTATGCTGAGTGAAATATCCCAGTCACAAAAGGACAAATATTACATGATGCCACTGTTGTAGAATGGGACTGTCCTTGGGGTTGGGGAGAGACTGAGTAAGATGGGTTCAATAATGTATACTGCACTGAAACAGAGGAGGGAGAGAACCGTCTAAAAGAGAGATGTAACTGGGTATTTCTGTCATCACAGGAGACTAGAGCAAGGGCTGCATGGTGGAGGGGACCTGGGGGAGGGTTTGTAAAACAATGAAAGAATCTTTTCTTTTACTTTTCCATAATTTTTGGACTCATGTACTTATAACTTGTTAGTCAAATTTGTGTCTTCTAGGTTGCAACACCCCCATGATACATCTTGAAGGATATGTACATGTACAGCCAAGCACAATCAATAAGAGTGCATCTGAATTCCAAAATCAATCTCCATAATAGTCTATGTGTTTCCTACTGCCAAAGGGGCCCTTTAGAGTAGTGAGAGAAGATCTTCACCCTGAAACCCTCAGCGTCCCTTTTCAGCAGGAAGTAGCTAAGAGAATACGCCGTCCCCTTTTCCTTATGACTCAGGGTGAAGTCTCTCTCAGGGAGGAGTGATAGGGAATGGCAAAGGATACACTGACAAAGAAGATTAATCAGAACTGGCTTTGACAAGCACTGTGGCATTTGGACAAGAACAAACTGGGAGGAGGGTAGAGAGAATAGTGCAACAATGAATGAGTGGAAGCCCAAAATCTCTGTAAATGTTTATGAAAATTAATAAAATATAATTATAGAAAAAAAAAGTCCTAAAGTTCAATGATGCAACTTTAGGGAGTAAGATATATCTGACTCAAGCCATAGTCTGTTCTATCACATATGATGCACGTGAAACTTAGACCATGATTAAGGAAGAACAAAGAAGAATAGATGCCTGTGAATTGTGGTTTTGGAGAAAAATATTTAGTGAAGAAATATTTGGTGAAAAATTTAGTGGTGAAGAATGAGCAATTCTGTTTTAGATGAAATGCTGCCCGTATGCTCATTGAAGTGAGAATGGCAAGACATTGTGTTATATATTTTTCTAAAAATATACATCATCGATAAATTATATTATTACATAACCATTGAACTGATTTTGATTCATGGACACTGTGTGAGAGAGTAAATCTACCCCATAGAGGTTCCAAGATATAATCTTTAAGGGAACAGATTCGTAGGTCTTTATCTTTTTTAAAAAAATTATATTTTTTAAATTACAAAACAAATACACAAATTGTAATGGGTTTGAGGCAAATTGTGCCATAAGGAGAATTTTCTTTTAAGTGGCTAAACAAAGTTTAAAAAGCAAATAACAATAAAGGAAGATATTTCTGGTACAGGACAAGCAATATAAAAATGTAGCACACAAGTACCTGGATATTACACATGTTTTGCAATAGTGCAACATTAAGTACATATTGTTGACTGTCCAAAGTCCATGTAGAGTTACAACTCCGTACTTTGACAACATGCTGATAGTTCTGAAAGAAAACTACTTAAAAACAGGCGGGGTGGGGGGGGGGCATAAGTAAGATGTTTCCTCATTTGACCAACTCCATCTACGTTTAGATGTATAGAAGGTTTTAGATGTATCCAGAGTAAGCCATATAAAAGAGGTTGTGGCACTAGAGACATTATTGTCAATGTCTGATGGATCTTGGCAGAAAGCAAAGAGTACCAGAGGGATATCTATCTGTCTTTCATTGACTGTGCAAAGGTATTTGACTGTGTGAATCACAACAAATTGTGGTTAACCTTGAGGAGAATGTGAATCCTAGAACACTTGATAGTACTTATACAAAACCTATTCTTGGACCAGGATGGGGTGCATCAGGAATGTGTCCTGTCTCCATACGTTTTCAATCTATATGCAGAACAGATCATTCGGGAGGCTGGGCTTTATGAGGAGTAATGTGGGATCAAGATTGGAGGAAGAGTCTCTGATCCATTTTTAAAAGTAATAAAAATGCAAATATACAGTTAAAAAAAAGATTGGAGGAAGACTCATCAACAACCTACGTTATGCAGATGACACAACCTTGCTTGCTGAATCTGAGGAAGACCTGCATAAGGTCAGGGACTGTAGTCGTCAATATGAATTGAATCTCAATATCAAGAAGACAAAGATTCTCACCACTTGGCCAATTGTCAGCACCATGATAGAGATTGTGGTTGTTAACAGTTGCAGCTTGCTCGGCTACCCAATCAACACTTTTGGCACCAGCAGTCAGAAAATCAAAAGACAAATTGCATTAGGTAAATCTGCTGTCAGGGAACTTTCCTGAGTACTGAGAAAAAACGATGCCAGTTTAGAGAATAAGTTGTGCCTGCATCAGAAAGCAGGATAATGACTAAGGATGATAGAGGAAGATGATTTGAGTTGTGGTGCTAGAGAAGAATCTTAAACATACACTGGACCACCAAGAAAACAAATAGGTCTGTCTTGGAAAGGGTGAAACCAAATCCATCTCACATACTTTGGGCATGTGACCAGTAGGGACTGATCCTTGGAGGAAATCATTCTCGGAAGAGTGGAGGGGACAGCACAAAAGAGGAAGACCCTGAATGAGATGGATTAATACAGTCACTAGGCAATGGGAGTAGGTATACTGGCTCAGGACAGGGCAAGCTTCAGAGCTATTATACACAGGATCACTATGAGTCACAGGCGACTTGTGGGCACATAACAGCAGCAACATGTTACTTGATCAGTTTTCTAAAATGAGGTTTCAGGGAAATTACAATAATATAAAGGAAGACAATATGGAAGAATGAAGTCCTAATTACTATGCATCCATATTCTTTTGATAGTAGGTGGAAAAAGAAAAGAAAAGGCAAATAAACCATTTTGTACAAGAAATTTAACACATTCTAGGGAGCTCAGGTGGCCTAGTGGCAAGAAGCTGCACTGCAATCCAAGAGGCACACAGTTCAAATCCACCAGATGCTCTGCTGGAGAAAGATGGACAATCTCCTCCTGTACCAGTCAGATCCAATTTGACGGTACACACATAAAAATAATAATTAAATAAAAATTAATAA